TGCTTAAGTGGTAGTCGCATTTCTCTTGTTCTAAGGTTACTGTTAATCGACTACCTTTTTTTTGACGTTATCGTGTCGTAATCATTTTTTTACAAGGTCAAATTACACTGAATAATTAGCTAAAGTCAGTGTTATTGTATTGTTCATTACGTATGGGAATTGTTCGAATCTATTTTTTTTTTTTGTGTTGTTGACTACTGCAGTTAGTTCTTATAATGAATACCAAATCGTTGAAATAATCTATTGTTTCTTACAGGTTTCACAGCATATTTATTTTGTCGGCATCAGCCCGTCTGTCTCTGTTAATGCTTCTATGTTTATTGGAGGCAGCTTACGGTTTTTGTAGCTTTGTCGGGAATTTACAGATTTAGAAATAGATCTTAGTCATCACATTTTTGCTTCTCTTTGCCGTCTTTGGTCTTGGGATTATAAAGGGTTCAAAGAGAAGGAGTTATTCGTCAAGATTGGATACCGAAGTTCAGCATAGTCTTTGTTGTAAAACTAGCTGCGTCAGGATTATCGTTGTCCATTTAGCCTCTGGATTACGAAGATCCAACACAGCGTAGAGGCTTTAATATCGCAGTCCGAGTGTATGATGGGCGACATGAGGCGTCAACAAAATTGCGAATACAACTTGAAGACGTTAATGATAACCCTCCCGAGTGTTTCGGACCGAAAAGGAAAGATGTATCAGAGGGAGCGGACCGAGGTACACAAATCGGGCAAATCACATGCATTGATCGGGATGAAAATGACAGGGCAACGTGAGTGTTCAATATTCAATAGTAAAAGATCTGTAAAGCCAGATTCTTCCAATTGTTTAACGGACGCAAGGTTTGGGCTTCTCTTTCCGAGTGCAGCAGATAATGATTGTACAGCAAGAGAAGGTTCCTTCAGTAGTAAATATAAAACTGCAAAACGGTTTGCAAGGTTGAATCCGTCATTTTATTTTTGCCTGCTGTTGTTTTCAATTTGTGCTGCTACTGATGCACAAGTTTTTTCACCGGCCTACGTTAGTTCACTTTCTGGAGGAGTAGGTTCCCGGTTCAAGAATTTTATTGGCGTATCAGACCTTAAAATTTCTGTTTTTTCTAATAAATCTGAAGATGAAAAAGTTGGGACACTTGTGACTGCCGTTCACGGCAAATATTCAAGCGATAATACCAATAAAATCTAGTTAGTTTTCGTCTTTTTTTTTGTTTATTGAATTTTAAGAAAAATTTTTCTAATGTTAATTTCAATTCAGTTTTGAATTTTAAAACATTTTAAAGCTAGCCAACAGATAGTGGGATTTAGCCTTTCTGCTACACCACTATTTTTAAATTCCTACTACAGGCAAGTCCTTTTCGAAGTTAATAATCTTTTTTGTTATTTACGGATTTCCTTTTCTAGCTACCGCATAAATCGTAAAACTGATCCAAAACGACAATTTTCCGTTGACGAATATGGGAATGTCAAGATTGCACACACTTTGGATCGTGAGGAGATACCGGCTTATAATCTCCTTATAGAGGCGTTCGACACAGGTAACGAGTTGATTTTTTGTTTTTCAGACTGTTCTTGAAAGTCACTTGTATTTGCGTTTAGTAGCTCGTCTGTAATTTTTTTTGCACGTGATTCTTTTTAACACAGTCTGGAAGTTCGAAGATTTTCAGGTGGTAATGTTGATAGCATGGGGGTGGATGTCGTGGTGCTGGATGTGAACGACAATGCTCCGATGCCGTATACTGTACCAAGCCCCTGCGTATTTATGGAACATGTAGATCCAACTCAGCAACAACCATGTGAAATTCGTGCTATTGATCGTGATACAATGTGGGTTATTGCTTATTTTATTTTCTCATTTCTTGAAGCTTTTGGGTTATTCAATAAGGTTTTTTAAAGTTACTTCACTTTTTAGGGCAAACGGTCCTCCTTTCTATATGCGTCTTTCTTCTAACTTTAAGTATGGAGATTACCTTGATGTGGTTTTCGATAAAAGTAAGTTTAATTTGCTGTAATACCTAGAATGTTGCCTAAGAATGGAAGATCAATTCTCTGTGTAATGAAGTGCTTTCCAACAGGTGACAATTGGCCTTTTTTTTTGTTTAGATGGTGATTATGGAAATGGCTCGATGACTATCAGACCTAAGGTTGTGTTTGATCGAGAACAGCCGCCAGGGAAATTTTTGGAAATTCCTATATACCTAGAAGACAAATTTCATTTGGGAAATGAGCGTTCAGTTTTTGTCGTAATTGGAGATATTGTATGTGTTTTTGAAAGACTGATTCTGTTTTAATTTAAACTTTGTGCTTACATTTCTATACATATTTAATTTGGGGTTCTTGGTTTGTTGCATAGTATGAAATTTGGAACTGTTTTTTCAAAGCTAAAGTTTGCTTTTGCTTTTTTTGACGAGCGACTGGATTAAAATCATTTGTCTCTTAACTTCCAGTCTCTAAAATTATTTATGATTTATAGAATGATAGTGAAATGCATGATGGCACCACCAATATTTATGTGTACAGCTATTTGGGGAGATTGGGAAGAACTGTAATAGGGCGAGTTTACGTTGATGATTTGGACGACTGGGACTTGAATGACAAGCAGTTCGAATGGGGAAGTGGTGGTCAAGTTTCTGGATTTACACTGGCACCGAACGGAGAGGTTAGTTTTTTTTTTGGTAAAAGTGCGCTCAGAATAAGTGTTTTTACTCTGTTTAGTCTGATTCGTGCTGCGGTAAGCTCTTTTACCTGTCTAGAAATATCAAGAATTCATCTTTTAAAGCATGTTGCTCTGGTTTAGATAACCATGGATGGCGACATGCCTGCAGGTCAGTATGTCCTCACTTCATCGGTATCTGACACAGCTCGAGGTGAACACGCTATTGGCACTGTATATGTGGATGTAATAATCGTCCCGCAACTTGCGTTTGAAAATCAAGTTTGTCTTTTGTTTTTCATCCGCTTTTAACTCAACAGAAATTTGCAGGAGCTAGGGGAAGTTCCTCCGTAATAATTTCTGAAAATTATAACATTGAACAGATGGATATAGTCGATTTATGTTTTAGGGTGTGCTGCGGATGTTGTATGGTTTACCTGGTGGTTATTTGAGTCCAGACGTTTTTCTCAGGCCCGATAGTGCTGGTTCGAGTCCTATGATGCGTTTTAAAGAGAAGATGGAAGGATATCTTGGGCCAGGAGTAAACATTCAAATATTTTCAATTCAAGTAATGTTTTAGTTTTCAGTATAGGTTTGTTATTGTCTTTTGGTTATGACATTTAGCTTATCTTATAGAAATGTATTTTAGCCAGGAGAGGCAAACTTACAAACTTCTGCTTTGAAAGTCATTGACGTACGATTCTCAGCTTTTGATGGGAGCACTTATCGAAGTCCTGTGGTTCTAAATGGACTGATTACACAACACCGAAGTGAACTTGAGAGCGTCATTGGTGCAACAATTGTGTCTGGTGGCATTGATATGTGTAAGTATACGATGTGCGACCAGGGATGTCAGACAATTCACTTGGCTAATGAGGTAAATTTTGCGTGTTTTGTTAAGTCGACAATCTTAAACAAAGTTCTGGTTTTGGTTTTGTTTAGGTCTAAAATGATTTTGTTCGGAGTAGTTTACTGCTTTTTTTTTT